ATCGGTCTTCTTGATGTCAACTTAAACAAAAAAATCTTTGAGCACCTCTGCCATTTCCAAGTTTCCTGTTATTGTTTCTCCCTCTTCACTGAGCAATGGGCTATCTCCTCCTCCACCTGTAGTATGCCAGCAATCTTATGTAGGTAGATAGCTTCCTCAGCTTTAAATGTTTCCACATGAATCTTACCACTTTTACTGCTTTACCATAAGCTCCTTCTTATTGCTCTGTAAAGTTCTCTTTTTTTTCACTGCTGAACATGGACGGATAAGAATGACTTGAAAACACCCAAAGACTTAGGAATCTAAAACTTTGTAGAGTAGAACCTTAGATTTACGAACTTCAGAGTTAAGCACTGGTAAGTCGATCACATGCTCACTTAGAACTAGAAGTACAAAATCAGGCAACAGCAAATACATTTTTAAAGAAAGCAAATACATTAAAGTACTGGGTTACAAGCAAACTACTAAAAATAGAAGGAAAGCAGCATTTTTCTTCTGCACAGAAAAGTTTCAAAGCGGCATGAAGTCAATTTTTGTTTGTAAACTTTTCACAGAACAACCATAATATTTTGTTCAGAGTTATGAACTTTTCAGATGGGGGGAAGGAGTTCTGACATTTTAAATGCTGTCAATGTTCTCCATTTGTTCCAGGACACTAATGCTGTAGATCACAAAAATTAATTGCTCCTGTTTTTGAGATCATGATGGTTCAGCTTTCTTGTTATTTTTAATTGTACGTTAAGAAGGGTTATGCCACTTGGAAATAATTATTTTCCTGGAAAATCAAAAGTACTAATTTAAGTGTTGCCTGTTTTTGAGATCATGATGGTTCAGCTTTCTTGTTATTTTTAATTGTACGTTAAGAAGGGTTATGCCACTTGGAAATAATTATTTTCCTGGAAAATCAAAAGTACTAATTTAGTAGCAAAGGGGTTTTTACAGCACTTCCATGAAGACTGACTGTGTGCTGCTTAGGGACTTCTAAAAAGCTGCTATATGAAATTTCATGTTGACAAGCAACATTGTTATAGAATGTATTTTATTTAGGACTTCTGGATGTGCTGTCTGCCTTGCAAATGCATCATTCTGTAATAAGTGCTCTAGATCAAGACTAAGCTGCTTCCTGTAGAATTTTTATGCCAACAGGGAGTAATTGACAATCCTGCAACTTTTCTGTTATGACTTTTCATATCGGATTCTTCTGGCATTTGAGACACACATTGACATTAAATAAATTGTTAATTAAAAAAACCCAAGAAAACAATAAAGTCCTACTGTAAGTCCTACTTTAATTCTAATCCCACTGAAGTTAAAGAAAATTCCAACAGATTCAGTGAGCTCTGGCAAAGGCTTGAGAGAATGCAACTAATATGGGGAATGAGGGTGTGTCATTCTTGACACCAGTCTCACCACAAAACTCATCTCTGTTTTTTATCTATTTGGTAGAACTATTCAAAAATGATTATCCCTATGGAAAATGTCAATGAAAACCAACAAAAATCTGTTTAGTATAGATTTCCCATGTAAAAATATAGGCAGAAATTTGAATATATTCATATTTTGGCCCAAAACTGAAATATTTTTCATTTCAGGCGATGCCAAATTTCAAAATCTTCTATTTAAAGGATACTTTAAAAATATTTAATCTAGAGCTTAATTTTCTCTTGAAAAATAGATTTGATGAAAATATTTTGGCCAGTTCTGCAATTCTATTCAGCTTCTTTTTACTGTTGTGATTCCCTAGTCAAGTCATGCTTGTTATCAGTGGCTAAAAATTATTACATTTGGAGAAAATCCCTAAAGCTGAGACATCTCCAAAAGCCTGAAGTTAGCCAGATGTATGGCCTCCAAGTAATCCTGGTTCTGGGTTTGCCAGTGTTTTTTTGTAGTCACTGATTACATTCTTTCTAACAGTATATAAATTAAGAATATTTCTGCATTACTATATTGGGAGAAACATGGCTTACTTTCACAATTACCATTCTGGGCTTCCTGATGGTGGCAAGCATCCTCCTCAGAAGAGTTGTTGTTTTTTGAGACTCTGGCAGCAAAAGTATCCTTTGGGAGAAATTGGAAAAAATTTATTAACCTTCTTTTGTAACAACCAGCAAGCAGGGAGAGGGGCAATTTTTATTTTCAAAACTTAAACAAAGTGTTATTTTCATGATTGGGACAACATTTCAGATTAGCATAGATTATCTTTGTGATACTTTCTAACCCTTTGGTTCTGTTATTCTATGCAAATAGTCATTCCTCAGAATAATATTTCCTTTCAGAATATGAGCTGCCAACAGTAGTAGGCCTCAGAGATGCCTTATTGTGATTGCATTTAAATTATTCATTTAAAGCTTTTTCATGGCCACAAAGGCTTTTTGCTTTGTGGACTCTTGAGCAGTTAGTCTTCTAAAATTTGTTGTGGATTTTTTTTTTTAATTTTCATAAAACCCCAAAGATCACAAATTAATTAGGAGTTCCACATCAAAACAAAACTGAGACCTTTTGAAAAATTTCATGCAAAAATGAGACCGAGACCATCTTCAAACTACATCATAACCGGGGCCCTAGGTTCAAGTTAGGTTCAAGCTAGGTTCTCCATAGCTTCAAGTTCTCCTACTCCAGATCAGGCAGAGCAGAACCCTGAAGCTGTATCTCTCACATGCTTGGTGAGTGCCATAACTAGAGGGCAATAGGTTATGCTGGGGAAGGTATGTGCCTGTTTCTCTCTTATTCTCTCTTTCTTTCTCTCTCATTTTGAGCAGAAATTCTATACTCAACCTGAAAAATGTCCCTGACTACCATTTTGTCAAAACTAATGTTGTAGAGAACTGCCCCCTCAATCATTGGCAGCTCCAAAAACATTAAGAAACACAGTAGGTACACGAAGCACCAAATTCACAAATTGTGAAAAATTTCAGTGAATCAAAAAACTCCATTTCAGGCTGAATGGAACATGTAGTCCAAACCAAAACAAAATGCTTTACCTTTTAAAAATGGATATTCATAAGATATTTGCAGATGTAGCACTAGAACCCCTTTACAAATATTGCATGATTCAGTTCTGAATATATATTATTTACTTTTTCTTCACAGCCTTATGGTCATAAGAAAAATGTACTTGGATCTATTTCATAGCCAGAATTTATTTGGTGATCTTGCAGTGCATAGTAAAATCCTATAGTTCTTTGGACAGAATTTATTAGGCTCACACAGAGAGAAGGGTTGACTCTCACTGGTACCCTGGAGGCTGAAGATATCAGCTTCAGGATTTCCTGCAGCATCAGTTAGTGCAGTGACTGAGAAAAGGGATTTAGGTTTCAGAAATGTTTGACTCAGGCCTGCTGTGATATGTGGCACAGTGCTTCAGATGTATCTGTTCTGGTTCACCTCTGGATAATTAGCCTTCATTTATAGCTTTAAAAAAAAATCTAAATACCAAATTTCAGGTGTTAGAAAACTACAGCTGTGGCTGAGGGTTAGCATTAGGCTGAATCTCATTCACAGAAATCCAGACAGCTTTATCATTTAATTCCTCACCCTGCTAAGTTAATCTGACCTCTTTTCTGTCTTCTATAGTTTCTCTTTCTAAGGCTATTGGTGACTTCTGGTGATTAATGATAATTGGCCTTCCGTCACCTGAGGATGCAAATCCAGTCGAATTGGTTCTGAGCAAGTGAATGAATTAATATGTGATATGTGTATAAGTTTCTTAGATGACACAAAAATGTAACTGTCAAGGCACATTTTCCTGCTTTCTCATCTCTAATAAAGTCATAATCATAGCTGTTGCAGGTTTGATGCTCTTAGTTCCCAAATGTCTTGAAAAGTAAAACTGTACTATACAAGAATTGACAGTGACATTTTCAATGAGGTTCTGCAGTTTTTATCTAAGAAATCCTGCCCTTCAATATGCTATTCTACATCTTTACCATTCCTTATCTGTTTTTCCCACCTGCTTTTAGACAATAATGACATTTAGGGTAACATTTTCAAAAGCACCCAAGTGTTTGACTTGGAAGTCCAAATCCCACTTTCAGAAGTGACTGTGTCATTTAGGGACTTAAGCCTCACTGAAAGTCTGTGTCATTAAGGTGTCACTTCTGAAAGTGGGACACAGACTTCTAAAACATTTAGGCACTTTTGAAATATAACTCTTGAGGTCCAATGTAAAATGCTATTGATTTCAATAGGAACAAGGACAGGGCCTTTATATCATTAAAGTGCCCCTCCTCAGGGCCAGATCTTCCCCTTGAGCAGAGAAACCTCTGTATAAATGCCATGAGGAGCATTATACAGTTGAGTGTTGTTGAACAGGTATGAGATTTGGTCTTCATCCTATTTGTAAAAATAGCAGAGGATGGTCCTAAGATTCGTCAGATCCATATCAGTTCATCTTCTCATAGGTTCCTTTTACAGTTATTGAAAAGATGACCAGCCTCTTTTTATTAACTCTTTAGTGTTATAGAGGTAAATAATTTGAATCATTAATGAGAATGATCCAATGAAAGCAATTTCTGTTTTGTTTTGTTTTGTTTTGTTCTGGAAGTAGTTAAAATAAACAGAAAAGTGTTATCTTTGCAGAAAACAAACTAAAAGAAAAAAAGCCATTATTTTGTCAATTCAGTAAAAGGAGCAAATTCTTTGCTGACACAAACTGACTTCCATGGAATTTGACCCAGTGAATAATTTGGTCAAAAGGTTTGAGTAAGTATGTTGATCCATGTAGTGCATTTTCACTCTGTGGACAAAATCGCCTTATAGTGGTATTGAGGTATCAGAGCTAAACCTAAACAAAAATGAAAAAAATCTTCCTCATATTCCTCTACAGTGATTTCAGCTCAGCCCAGCATGTTATCAAGATTTGAACTACAGTGACACATCTGTGTACAGTTTCTGTTTATGATTTAATTACTAAAAAATTATTTCAACAAAATCTTAAAAATGAAGCTTTTTAATATTCTTACAGAGGGTGTTTTTTTTTGTGTGTGTGTGTGTGCTTTTAGGGAGCAGCGTTTAAGAGCTGGAAGATGAAAGCTCCTATTCCACACTTGATCCTCTTGTATGCTACTCTAACTCAGAGCTTGAAGGTTGTGACCAAAAGGGGCTCAGGTAAGTAGATTTTCTCCTTTTTTTTCCCCATGAGGCTTGATGTTGTGGTTACAATTGTGTATGTAAAGCATGTTTGGGACTTGGAAAATATACCGTAAGAAGTTGTTGAATTGCTTTCTGGACATAGTAGTTAATAGGGTTTCAAAATCAGCAGCATGGAACATGGAATATTTTTAACACTGCAAGTTCTATAGCTATCGGAACAGTTTTCTGCTACATTTCTTTGAAAAAATGCACCATGTTATGGATTAATTGAAATCATGGACAATCTGGTGACTTATTTTCTAAAGAGAAGTTTGTTATTTTTTTAAAGTTATTCTCAGTTGAAGAGAATGTAATCTGGCTTTTGGGTGTGTTTTTATTTTATTTTATTGGAATATCATTATTACAATTATAATATTAATTTGTATTTGTGGCATTGTTTATTAACTGTAGACCTTCTAGAACTTTTTTTTAAGATATGCTGTTCAGGTGATTTTGAGTTATGTCATGCAATTCTGTAAATCAAGGAACAGAGTCAAGTACATTAAATTTAATACCACTAGAAATAATGAATGATGTGACATAACTTAGTAGAGGCCTACTTATTCGTGGATGGATGGATTATTACACCAAAGCAAATACTGACAATTTTTGCCTCCATTTATACTGCTTAAAACTTGTACACTTGTCATATGACTTTTAAGATGAGTTGAGTCATGGTATGAGCAAGCTATTTGAATATTGATATGTGATAGGAATAAAGGAGCTTCAGTACTTGTCGTGACAGTTGATTTTGACTGTCATCCCTGATAAGATCTTGAATTTCTTCTTAATCTTTTTCTTGAAGTAAAAAAAAAATCTTACAATGAAATTTAATGACATTACAATGACACTAATTCATAACACTCCTGCAACAAAGAACCCACAACTATATCAACTGAAAGTCTGATTATTTTTATTAGACTACATTCATCAGGTAACCACTTTTGGTAGTCCTGGAGTGTTTGATGATAGTAATTCTCACTGTAGTGTTCAATATGCTGGACACTAAACCTGTGTTCCTTGTGAACCTCAATCTCTATCTATTCAAGTTAATTTGAAATAAAGGGATGCAGATTTGGTCCCCCGATCTTCTCATGTTTTTCAAAAATAATGTAATATCAGAAAAATATTAAAATGAACAAGTTGTACATTCATATAATTTTGTATTGACCTACTCTGAATGCCCCCCCCAAATTCAAATGGTCAGAAGTGTGTGTCTGTAAGGTCAGGGCATATTTTACAAATAAGTACCAGTGTGACACCAATTAACTTGTTGAAAGCCAGACCATCCCAAAATTTAAAGTTGGCCCAAAAAGTGATTTAATTGATGTTGCATGTCTATCGTGATGTGTAATACTGCCATAAATTATAATACTTTCCAGCCTATTAAAAGAAAACCAGAAAATAGAAAATATTAAATGTGTGCAAATGGTTATGCTAATTTTATGTTAGAAATATAGATGCTGACTCTGCAACATCAACATTTTGACAGTTTGGCATAATCCATTACAGAGATAGGCATCACTTGGAAGGTTCTGAATTTAGTATTTTGACTATTAGTACCCATGTCCACTAAGGTGGAATTGAACTTTATACAATATCGTTTTAAGAATGTACCATTATTTAAGTCACAAAAATAATTTTTTAAGTGACATTAAGGAACCAAAGAAATGGCCAACTGTGTGTATATCTGTCTCATTGATTTTCATCACCTCACTTTTGTGTCTAATTTTTTATCATTTTCAATGCAAGAAAAATGGCAATGGTGTTAAATTTTCAGTTATGAAAACCCTTAGTGATTTTTGTTTATCCAAAACAAAATAAAAAATACCTGCAGTTCTTTAGTGAAATCTGACACTGTGAACTCATCTGTACCATATTCATGTGTGATAGGAATAAAAATGTTTCAGTAATAGTTGTAAAGAAAACTATAAATTCATACCTGGTTTAGACAAAAAACTGAAACTACATTTTTATCCTTGGAGAAGAAAGAGGAAATAGAGAAATAAGACCTAAAGGCCAAATGTAAATTATCTTTAAATACTAATTTGACCAAGGATTGGAAATCAGGAGACCTGTCCAGGCTCTGACATTGATTTCTTGTGTAACCATAAGCAAAACTTCCTTAGTTTTCACTTGCTACAGACCTATACCTACCTCATACGTGGCATGAGGCTCCAGGAACTGTTTATGAAGCGCTTTCAGTTCCTCATATGGAAGGTGCAATGTAGATAGAAGGTAATATTTAGGTTGATCTTGACATTTTTATTCATTGTTTAATCATACCATACCAAAGCAACATCTTATTGCCTTGAATGAGAATTTTGTCAGATTAAAGACTGAAGACTGGATTCTGATACAATTGCTCATGATGAGTAGTGCCTTACACAGTGTGTAGCACCACTGACTCCCTTGGTATTTGTTGCAGAGTGAGGAGTTACTCAGGTTGAGCAAAGGTAACAGAAATTGTCCCTTGTATATGGGAGGACTATGATTAAATCCTGCCACCTATATTCAGTAAAAAAAAAAAATCTCTTTCATTGCAGTGGGAGTTTTGCCTGAAAATGGGCTGTGGAATTTTTTACTAAGAAAGTAAAATTGTTTTCCTGAGAATAATACAACTTTCTGGGGACTAGTTTCTGGGGACTAGAAACACAGTAAAAGGCTAAAACCAGAAAAACAGAACTTTTTGTTCCATTTGGAAACACCGACTTTTAGTTTTTGAAAAGAAACCTCTGCCTCTTAGTTTATATTTATTTATGTTTTCATTCAAGATAAAATTTGTTTCTATGAAGATCAGAAGTTCAGCTGATTTTATTTATTTCCCTGGGAAATCTTTTGTGTCTCTGGATGGTTAAAGAACATTTTAGGTTTTTTTCAGAGTAGAGTGCTACAATACTCTTTTTTTCATTGCATTAAAAATCAGAAACTGGGGAGAAACAAGAAAACAAAGCACATTATAATGAAGGACATTGGTAATGGTTACTTTAAAATCTGTTGTATGGTGCATCATGGACAGTATTAAAATAAAAATGGAAAGTGATATTTATGCCAGTAAACAGAGGATTGTGAATAATCACCTATCCTAAGAGTACTAATATATTAGTTAGAAAAAAATGAGATTGTTTATGTAAGAGCTCAGGAAGTGCTGCAGATGCTGGAAACAAGAAGTTGTAAATTGTCTTTCTTTGTAATAGCTGACAGAGAAGAAATAAGTAAACCTTTTATATCCAAATTTTAATACCTAATTATTTGTACTTTAGTTGCAGTCTTAAAAGGTAGGTATTCTCATTCGTGAAAACATAATTACTGCAATCTGAGCAGTATCCCTATCTTATCATTCACTAGAATTTTTTGGGAGGGGATAATGTGCAATTACAATACTATTTTGCACTTCAATTTTTACCTGTGAGTTTCATTTGTTATTCCATAGGATCACAGAATTAAAATAAAACTCTTCTATAGTCAGTGGACCAAAACAAATTTTGTCCCCATGTTTTCAAAGTTCAGTCATTGTTCAAATACAGAATGGACACAAAACTAGCTGAGTCTCCTCGACTTTTCTTTTGATGTTGGAAAAAATGTGGGTTTTTTATGCATAAATATAAAGAATATCTGAAAGGCTTTACATATCTTTATGTAAATAGGTACATGAATTTGATTTGCAGAAGGCTTTTAATTTATAAGTGGTTTCAGGTGTGATGCTGATTCCTATGATGGGTGTCTGCAAAAATTTTGACTGGTAGAATTTACCGAACTAAACTATGTGCATGAGAAAAGAAAGGAGAAAATATACAGTCCTAAATGGACTCCCCACTCTCAGCCCTTTTTTTCACTTCCATGGTATATGTTACTTGTTGTACAGTATCACAGCAGACTTCGTAAAAGGGTCATTAGCAATCTCCATGGCTATGTCTAGACTGCAGGCTTCTTTTGGAAGAAGCTTTTCTGGAAGAGATCTTCTGGAAAAACTTCTTTCAAAAGACAATGTCCACACAGCAAAAGCGCATCAAAAAAGTGATCTGCTTTTTTGAAAGATAGCGTCTAAATTGATAGAATGCTATTTCGCATTTAAGTTGTGATTACTATGGACAGAGTGGACACCTGGGCACCTGTGTTTTTTCCTGGAGGCCTCTTCCCTGCCCACACACACCTCTTTCTGAAAGAACTTTTTCAGAAAAAGGCTTCTTCCTCGTAAAAAGAGGTTTACCTCTGTCAGAAAAACCCCTGCATTCTTTCAACTTTCTGCCACAAGAACTCAATTGCAGTGTGGGCGTAAGTGTAGTTTTTCCAGAAAAACAGCCATTTTTCTGGAAAAAACTCTGCAGTGTAGACGTAATGCATGTCTCACAGGACAGTGAAGATCTTCCTATTACAGAAGTAATGATGTTATACCTATAGTAATCTTCTGACTAACATACCCCTCCTCCCCTCCCAAGAATAGGAGCTAAAGGGAAGTCAGGAAGGTTGGAGTAAAATATTTTAAACTCTGTTTTGTATGTTTTGCATAATCTTATGATTTATACCATCAGCTCAAGCAAGTGATAATTCCCTGATTGATTGCGCATAGGTGAAATGGCAGCATTTGTACTGACAAAGTGCCTGGGGTCTCTGGAAGGATTAAGACTTTATGTAGGGATGCAGGATTCTTTAGCTGTATCACTCAAGGTTTAGTTGTAAAAATCCTACATTAAGACTAATGGAGGACAAAGTGTTTTGGGGTTTTTTTGGGGGCTGGGGGAGGAGGGAGTAAGAAAATAAGACAAAGAGGATAAGAAAGGAAACAAAAAAAATTGAAAAGAAGCTTGGGTCAAGCTTTATGAGGAATCCAGTGGTAACAAGGGATGAAAATTCCAGGAAGAGGGTGAATTTTGCACCTCCACTGTGTGCTCTGATGATTATGGGATATGTGGCCTATTCTCCGGACATAATAAAGGTGATTTTTTTTACCACTTCTGAGCTGGTTATTTAATATA